AATCCCTTTCATAGAAGCTTTTCTAGTTTTTAGTAATGGACTGGAAGAATTTTTATTTCTTAGAATTTCTTTCTATTAGTCAGATTTTAGTGTAACCTGCTTTGCTTATTCATCCATGAGTTCCAAGTCATGATTTTGCCTTGGACAAAGAAAATGCTCTACTAGCATGAGATTAGTAGAAAGGAAACTACTATTTAATGAGGCCTGTGTCAGATGCTCCACTGACATTTTCCATCCAATGTACACAACAAACCCAGGAGCAGGTATTACTGTCATCTTTTTGAAGGTGAAGAAGCAGGCTAATAGAGGTGAATGGACTGCCCAACATCACACAACCCAAAGTGGCAGACCCCGAGAAAACCTGTGTTCTTTGCTGAACCCCAGGATACCTTCCAGTGTTCTCAGTTCCGTGCAGGTTAGACGGGGTTCATTTACCTTTATGGTCCTTTATGACTCTGGCAGAAACTAAAACTGCCAGACTTTGGCCACTTGGAGAGTTAGTTCAAGGCTGAGGGTGATTTTCCAAGTACAATGTGTGATACTCCTCAGTCCCAGAACCACATTTTCCAGATTGATTTTCTGTGACTCCTAATTAATTGTTCAATGTTCATTCAACAGTTTGTTAAGCACCCTCTGTGTGCCGGGCACTGTGCAAATATTAATCAACTAAAATATGATTATACAGATTATTCAGGTTTTAGAACTCTGTCCTTCTGCTGGAGGATGGTGAGGAGGGGGTGCCTCTTTCCTCTCTAGGCAGAGAGCAAGGGTGAAGTGGCCCAGAACAGAGCCTGCCCCACCCAGGGCTGTTGGGCTCATGCATGCACATGTGCACATCCAATCTGTCCTGTAAAGTATGCTTGACCTTGAGCTTTGTGAGGGCAGGGACCATGTCTTTCTTGTGCCCCACACAGAGCCTGGCCTGGAGCAGGTGCTCAATGTCAGTTGAATCAATGATTAAGCAATTTTTTTTGACCAATTCACTAGGAGAACTTGGGCCGGTTGCTTTATTGCTCTGTGCCTTTACTTCCTCATTTGTAAAACGAGGATAAACAGAGTACCCATCTCACATGGCAACCCTGAGATCCCCTGAGATAATACATGGCACTCAGTGAGCACTCCACACGTTATTGTCATTCCCATTACTGTTACTGTATGGAGGCATGGGAGGTGGCACATCCTTCTATGCCAAAAGTGAACTCCCATTCCCTATTACCTTATCACCTGGATTTTTGTTTCTTAAATTAGAACTGAAGGCCAGATGGACCAGCTATGTGAAACTCACTCTGCTCTGTTGTGAGAACCTTGGTCTGAGACCCTGCTGATGGGACAGACATAGTAACCCTGGGAGGCCCCATCAGAGGGGCAGGGAGAGGCGGGTAAGCTATGTTTCAGAAATAGTGTTTGACTTGAAAGCACAGCACCAGAGCAATGCCAGCCCGCGCCTCATGAAGACATCCACCATTAGCCTCTGAGCTGGTCATGTGAATGTATGTGTGTGTGTGCATGTGTGTACAAACGTGCAGGGACACACAGGGGCAATTCTGTCCCATCAAGGAAAACACTGTCTCCCACTGGGCCCGCCATATCACTGTTAACCACAGGGAGATTTTGTGGCCCTGGCTAGTGGGGATCCAAGACATATCCCTCAAACCTGAAGGGTCTGGGAGCAGGGAGGGCCTGGCTTCCTAAGAAAAGCTCTTTCTGAAGGGTCCCCTTTAGGACTGGCAGCTGATTTACTGGACTCTAGCCCTTCACTCCAGGTGGAACTTTGTCTGCCAATCCTGTGTCCTAACACCAGGCCCCTCACAACTTCCCAAAAAGACTCTTTGGGCATCATGACTCCCCACAGGAGAGCCCAGTCCTAAAGTCAACCATGGGCAGCCACACAGTCTAGCTGCCTTCCCCTGCTGATTGTAAGCAGGGTCTCCAAAGGCAGATAGCAGCCCACATGGGCTTGGGACAAATGGCCACTGCGTGTGTGTGGTTCCTCCTGTGCTGCATCATTCTGACAGGGCTTCTTGGCCCCTCTTCAGGGAGGAAATGGGACCAAAAGCCATGGATACAGAGCCTCCAGGAAGGAGAATAATGGGAGCTGGCCCTCACCCCACTCCCCTTCCCAGTGCTCTCATTCAGAAACCCTGCCTCTGCTTCATTCGCCCAAGACCAGGCTTGACTCCTTACCAGGGCTAGCTTCATGGGCATGCAACTGTGTAGTCACACAGAGCCCCACACTTGGTTTCAGTATTTTGCCATTGCTGTCTTGAAATTCTTAATAACTTTTGACCAAGGAGTTATGCATTTTCAGTTTGCCCTGGACCTACAAATTAAGTAGCCAGTCCCCAGTCTTATCCTTTGCTCATGCAATGCCTGGCTCCACATCTAACAGCCTTCCTTTCCTTTCTATCACTAAATCCTATCTATCCTCCCCTAAGGCAAAGTCCAGACAGAAAAATATTTGAAAAACTACAAAGAAGAGCACATTAGATTTGAAAGAGCTTTTCTGCTCAACTGCAGATGGAATAATGATGGTTGGCATGTTAACGTGTCTACCAATCTTGAGTTTTTCCTGGCTCTGTCCAAGGCTAAAGGCTGCGATGGAGGCCTTCTACTCCTAGTCCTGGGTAACTGTCTCCTGGTATCACATTCTTTGAAGAAAGGCAGGGCATCATATCTGATAAGCTCCTCTTGTCCTGTGTTAGGAGCACAGGTCTAAAGCAGGATGCTGGTACAAGTTCGGGTTCTGAGGCTCCAGTAGCTATCTATCATGCTTATTTACTTGCTGTGACTTCAGACAAATCACATTCTCACAGTCTGTTTAATCTTCTGCAAAATGAGTCACACCACATCATCAGGCCTTGGGGCCTCAATTGCTCATCTCTCTAAGTCAGAAGCAGATCCCAAGCTTTTATCTGAAGCTTTGGACAGTTATTTTTGGAGGTAGATGTCCATGAATGCAGGTACACATCCTGTTTACTGTTTCTGGTCTATGGACTGGCAGAACACATTAATCTGGCCATACAGTTTTAGAGGGTTCATTCCCCTTTCTCCTGAAGCCCACTCAGGAGCCCCATGTGAGGCAACACAACTCTGGATACAGCCTCAGATTTTTCCTCGGATTGTGCCTGAGCGGCAGAGCACTGAATTTCTGGCCCAAGTTGTTTTTCTTCTGCAGAGCTGTGTTGGGCGTTGCCCCTAGCCAGCATTGTGAGCACTGTGAGAGGCGGCCTCATAAATCTTGCTATTGTCTCTAGGACAGGGGTAATCTTGAGGACATTATCCTCAGCATCACAGAGTGGCTCTTTTGTGGAAGAAGTACATAGGAGAGACTCCTTTCAGACCTCAGTATTCAGAACGAGTGGGTGCTTCTGCGAATGAGCAGACTACTTCGGGTAGTAACCCTTCTGAGAGCTGGGATACGCAGAGCCAGTTTTGGAGCTGTGTCTGGCAAAGCAGACAGGCCCAGGACAGGACAGTCTAGGGTCAGTCTTACCCCAGGCTTAGTTTTTGCAAACTCCCTCCCCTTTATTTTCCGTTTGCCCCAATTTCCTTAGCTTTTTGTTTTACATTTTTCTCTTGTATGTGTCTTAATAAACATCTCTGCCTGCTGCAGAATGAAGTGTGATATAAACATGTGAGTTTGTGCTTAAATCCACCACACTTTCAAGGGAGTTGTGAGTATTAAGAATGAATTATAAGCCTGTAATCCCAGCACTTTGGGAGGCCGAGGCGGGTGGATCACGAGGTCAAGAGATCGAGACCATCCTGGTCAACATGGTGAAACCCCGTCTCTACTAAAAATACAAAACATTAGCTGGGCATGGTGGTGCGTGCCTGTAATCCCAGCTACTCAGGAGGCTGAGGCAGGAGAATTGCCTGAACCCAGGAGGCAGAGGTTGCGGTGAGCCGAGATCGCGCCATTGCACTCCAGCCTGGGTAACATGAGTGAAACTCCGTCTCAAAAAAAAAAAAAGAATGAATTATTTGGCAAACGCTGTAAAAGGAGCCCCACCCCAGATGGAGTCAGGGGTGGGTGGGAGGCAGGGGTCTTTCCTCCAGACTGGATCATCTTGCCATAGACAGCAGTCCCCCAAAACCCAGGCCCAAAGTGCTCATTGGCATCTATTTATTTATTTTTTTGTTAATAAATGAAAGGTCACTAAACACACTTTGAAATCTTTGCAACCTCCCTTGAAATTTTGCTGAATTGACTTATGTCAAACTGAAACTGTGGCTGAAACTCCCATTTTGTAGACACACTGGCAGGGACTTGTTAGGGCAACAGCATCCCACAGGCCCTAGGGAATGGGAGGAACCACACTTCTGGAAAGACTGGATGGGAAGGAGGGTGTAGGGGTGTAGGAAGGGGAGATAGGGAGCCCTGGAGAGGACTAAGTTAAGTAGGCCCTAGACCAGCGGGGCCCTGAATCAGGCCCCAGGCTTGGCCTAGGCGTGAGTGGAACAGGGACCACATGATTTTTCAGAGGGGTCTTCTCAGAAAATAAAGTCACAGAGCTCCTGGAACCACTTGCACTTTTCAACAAGGGAAAAGACATTTTACCCCTGGACCAAGTGGCCATGCCCTCTGCTCTGCCCTTTGGGCTTTTTAAACACCTTCCCTCCACACTAGGCTGCCTTCTAAAGATGCAGTGCTACTTTTACTTCGGACTGCTTCATAGCTGAGGGGTCACCAGTCACAGCCATGGCCTCAGCTGGCTTCCTGCTACGTAATGCGAGCAGAGTAGGAGCATCACCCTTCCTTTCCAAAGAGGATCCTGAGTTTCAGGGAGGGAAGTGACATGCCCCAGGTTACTCGCCACAGTCCCGGCATGAGCCAGTCAAACCCAGAGCTGCAAGGCCTATGCCCTTTGCACAAAGGCAATAGCCTGGCACAGGGGAGGAGGGTCTGCCCAGCAGCTGTGCTAATATTCCCTCGGATCTGGGCTGGGGTTGAGGTCTGCCTGGGCTGGGCTAACGCTGCATGCTGTCTTCCTTGGCAGTGGAATCTGGTGTGTGAGGACGACTGGAAGGTGCCTCTCACCACCTCCCTGTTCTTCGTAGGCGTGCTCCTTGGCTCCTTTGTGTCTGGGCAGCTGTCAGACAGGTAAGGATGTGGGAGGGGAGGAAGGTGGGATGGCACCCTTTGTCAATCACTGCCTATCTTGGGATTGGACTGAATTCAGGGTATTTCTACCCAGAGAAAGGGAGGACCCTCAGGCCACTGAGTCCGTGAAAGGAGGAGCCCTAACGTCTCTTAATCGCCCTGTTCTCAGTCCCCTTCGTCTGGACACACTTTTGTTCCATTCTCCCAGCCTCATACTCCCAGGGCTTTGGCGGATTGTGGGGAGGGGCCACTGACCCCACTGGTCAGTGGGGTCCTCATACCACAGATTCCTTGACAAAACATGATTCTGCCATCACCATTGCCCTCCCTGCTCCACCACCATGTCAGAGGTGGGGGTGGATGGCACAGGATCTGTCTGCTAGGACAGCCAGCAACCAGACAGTGAGCCTTCGCATGCACTGCTGCTGTGCGTTGTGCGCTGGTTGGGCACTGGGGCCACGAAGCTGATGCTGGCTTTGGGCCTCATACAGCTTACAGGCCTGAGGAGGCAGCATCACAGCACCGGCAGACAGTGTTCCACAGGCCCCTGGATGTGTTGTGGTGACTAGTGCAGGAAGGTGGGAATGCTATATGACAGCGCTAGGGAAAGCTTCCCAGCCCAAGCCAACTCAGAGACCTGAGTTTGGAGAATGGGGCAGGAGATGCTGTGCTGCTCATACCTGTGCTCCAGTCTACCCACTGGTCACTACCAGAATGTGAAGGTAACAAACCAGCTGCAGTGTCACCATTAGACATTGCTGAAAGCTACATCTTCCCACAGAGCAGTGGTTTGCAATTTTGGTTGCACACTACTTGTTTGGGAAACTTTCCAAAATTCTAATACCGAAACTGTATCCCAAAATCTTGGGAGGTAGGGTGCTGGCATCAGTTTTTTGTTTTTTTTTTTTTTTTTTGAGACAGAGTTTTGCTCTTGTTACCCAGGCTGGAGTGCAATGATGCGATCTCAGCTCACTGCAACCTCTGCCTCCTGGGTTCAAGCAATTCTCCTGCCTCAGACTCCCGAATAGCTGGAACTACAGGTGTGCACCACCATGCCCAGCTAATTTTTGTATTTTTAGTAGAGATGGGGTTTCACCATGTTGACCAGGATGGTCTCAATCTCTTGACTTCGTGATCCACCTGCCTTGGCCTCCCAAAGTGCTGGGATTATAGGGGTGAGCCACTGCGCCCGGCCGGCATCAGTATTTTTTCAAGCTCTCCAGGTGATTCCAAGTGCAGCCAAGATTGAAAACCACTTGCCGAGTGACTCTTACTTCTGAATTTACAGAAGTTTCATGTTGCTGATTCAAGAAATATCTGCAATCTGTGCTGTACTCACTTTCCAGAAATGTGCTGGCAGCATCCATCTCTGACTCCTTCTAAACAGCATATTTCCACATGGTCCTTGCATACTCAGTTCCATGCTTTTGAGGCATAGTGACTCCACAGGAAGCTGAGAATCTCAAAGCTATCTCCTGAGCAGACAGATGCCTGAGACCTCACCAAGGAGGAAGATGAGAAGATGTGACAGGGGAAAAAGTCTGCCAAGGCCCTGAAAAAACACTAAGTCTGCACTGATGCCTGACTCAGGGCTTGCAACATACCTTGGCAACCTACACCTCTCATGTTTTGTATTATACTGCATTTTCTAGGTTTGGCAGGAAGAATGTTCTCTTCGCAACCATGGCTGTACAGACTGGCTTCAGCTTCCTGCAGATTTTCTCCATCAGCTGGGAGATGTTCACTGTGTTATTTGTCATCGTGGGCATGGGCCAGATCTCCAACTATGTGGTGGCTTTCATACTAGGTAGGAATGGCTTCTGGGACATGGGGTTCCTCCCTCCAACCCTCTGAAAGGCCCAGAAACAGGAAATATTGGGCTATTGGGCTGTGCTTCCAAAGCTCTTGAATATATATGTGTGTTGGGTTGGAGCTGTAGCTGTAGCTCTTGGAGCAAGCCACTCATAGAGACATGATCACAGGAACTTGTGAGGGCAGGCACTCACAAGGAGCCACCTCTGTGCTGAGCCTTGAAATATGGTGGAGGAGAAGAGCTGGAGCCATTAAGAACCAGCCACACAATAGCCAAGACACATTCTCAGGAGCATAGGGCTTGAGAGAGGTACAGAGGAGGACATTTTAGGGGAAGGGCAGCCTGAGGATGTCTGATCTGAGCTTTGTAGGCTTGAGACTTCTTCCTGATGGCCTGTGAAGGAACTTACGGTAGTCACTCTGGCCAGTACACAGGTGGGGAGGCTCATGCCAGACAGGGGTAGTTCAGTGCCAGCCTGTCATCACTAGGCCCATCTGGTCTCACCCTGAGTCAGAGCCCGCCCCAGAGCCTATCAGCTAAGCACAGGACGAGCCTCCCTGCACTGATAGCAGCCCCATCTCCTGTCAGGCCACACAAGGAAGACTCATCAGCTACAAGGTCACAAGGAGGTCCCTGGGGCCCTCAGCAGGGCCCTTTTCCAGGGAAGGAGTGAGGTGGACTCTGGACAAGTTGATCAGGGTCATCCACAGGAGTGAGAGCCCCCAGTGTGTTTTCTGAGCGCAGCAAATGGGCAAATGAGAGAAGCAGAGGTGAGGGGTATCTCTGGGACAGGAAACACAAATTCCCATCATCTCTAGGGTGACAATATATTCTAGCTTGCTCAATACCATCCCAGTTTGTCTCTATTGTCACAGTGTCATTATTAATAATGCCCCTTTAATAGAAGTCTAACAATTCTTCTTGCCTCAAAAGTCTGAATCTGGTTAGGTGACTCTGATTGCTTTTTAAGAGTCTGGAGGACTAATTGGCTTTGGAGATGCTGTGCTCTCTTAGTTGAAGGTGTGTACACCCTCCATCAGGCTGCCAGGATGGAATTATTCCACCTCCACTCCTCTGTTTGTGAAGAGCCCCGTGCCATGGGCTCAGCCTCAGTGTCTGCAGAGAGGAAGAGGGAGGAGAGAAGGAGGGAAGAACATGCTGGAGCCACACTGTCCCAGCAGATAGCATACTCTTCAGCAGGCCCCAGCGGGAGGAAGCTGCTCCCCTTCCTGCAGGGGGAAGGAGAGGGGCAAGATTTTCTTGAAGTTCATTTGTATAGAGGCATAGGGAGCTTCAGGCCAGTGATGTTGGAAACTGGAGGTTGGAGGATCTTAGGACAGAAATTGCAATCTCCTAGTCCCCAGGGGCTCCAAGATCACAGGGCAAAGCCTACTGTCTGCATGTTTGAAGTCCCCAGAATCCATCTTCTGTGTGATGATCCTCCCTAAACCTGAAAACCCCAACATGTAGCTCTGCTAGGGCTAGACGCATACCAAAAACCAAACAGGCCTCCCCAAAACAGAGGACTCTGACCAGCAGGCTCATATCCCAGGAAGACCTGAAGGACCACCTGGAACAGAAGGGCAGGGAGTCACGGTGAAGCCAGAGAAGCTCCATCTGTGGGAATGGGAACAAGGTGGGACTTGTACCAGGTGGTGGCATCCCCAGTTCTACAGAATGGGCAGCATTGAGATCTGCCTTTTCAGTGGCACAAGGTGCTTCTGGGGCCTCCAAGCCTCCCCTATGCAAGTGGGTGAGGCAAGGAGACCATACTCCAGGCTTCCTACAGGAAACGGCTGCCCTACTGGCCCTGACACTGCCATCTACTCTCCTCCCAGCTCCCCATGCAACGTGTGGTCTCACATGCCGGGTGGAGAAGGGGAAGAGGGCCAAGGAGAAAGTAAGGTCATGGAAGATCAGTCAAGTCAGCAGTCAGTAGGTAAAACCCTGGGTGCAGCAGCCTTGCTATCAGCCAGGATCTGGGCTGCTTAGGGCTTGCTATCAGCCTGGGGCCGGGCCTTCTGTAGGGTGCTCTGGGAACCTCTCCAGTGGTAGTTTTACACCATTCTGCTCTGCAGGAAATGACTGGCTTTTGTGTCCTGGTATGAGGCTCGTTGTGTTGGGTTCTCAAGTCTGAAAGTTTAAGAGTGTCCCTGAAAATTAGCCTGCTCTGGAGTGGCTGACTCCTCAGTCAGTGCCTGGGATTGGGGGACACAGTAGAAAGGCAGGGTGGCTGCTGGCTTTCCTACAGTGCAGCAGCGCTCTCTGGTGTTTCTGGGATAAAATTGCTGAATTCCAGGTTGTATTTGACTACAATAAACCAAAAAGTGGGGTCGGGACTGAGGAGTTCTGTAGGTGCCTTCGCTTCTGCCCTCTGGCCCTAAGGAAGGGTTGCCAAAGCTCTGCAGTGATAATTTCACATTAATTTGGGAAGCCAAATTACTCCCACTGTCAAAGCGGTGCAGAAATGAGTCCTTGTTTTGTGCTGCTTTTTAAAAATGATCAAGCCTGCCAGAGTCACAGCAGACTAGAAAAGGGAAAGAAAGAACAGTGCTACCCAATTCAGCATAAAACAGACATGCCTGGAAGTGATGGTGTTGCCAGAATGACACTGGTTTAAGAGGAAATGACCACTCGGGACCAAGGACACCAACCCTACCCACACTTCAGCTCCCCTCACAATCTCCTACTGTTGCCCAGAAATAATGCCCTCCACCTGTCAATAGCCTTCTGGGTAGAATGCCATCAGTATTCTCCCTTATCCCCCATAACTAGCTGCTTAAACACAAAAAGTTACCTGCCTCCTCTCTTGACTGATTCATTAATTCAGTATTTTTTAATACTTCTACATCAGCCTCCCATGTGACATTTCTTTGGGCATGCTGAACCATTTAAAGCCTTGCTTCCTCTGACATCTAGAGGTTTCTCCTTTTGATAGGTGTATAAATGACGGCATCTTCCTTTACAACTCTGGCTACTAGAAGCTCAGGCAAGTTTGGAATTTAACTACAACAATGATGCAGCTTTTACCAGCCACATATTTGTTTTTTTACTGTTTTTAAATTGAAAAGTTGAAATATAAATTTTTCTTAGCCTGTTTGGGATGCCATAACAAAATCCTGTAGACTGGGTGGTTTAAATGACCAAAATTTATTTTCCACAGTTCTGGAGGATGGAAGTCCAAGATCAAAGTGCCAGCAGGGTTGGTGTCTAGTGAGGGTTCTCCCCTTGGGTTGCCTTCTCCCTAAGTGCTCACATGGTCTTTCCTCTGTACAAGTGCTCAGAGAAAGGAAATGCAAGAAAGAGAAAGCAAGCCATAGAGAGCTCACTCTCTGGTATCTCTTCTTATAAGGACACTAATCCTATATCCTATCAGGTCAAGGGCTACAATGTATGAATACTGGAGGGACACAAACATTCAGTCCATGACAGATTTGCATACCATGATATTCATACTTTTAAAGTGTACAGTTCAGTGGTTTTTAGTAAATTCACAAAGTTGTACACCCATCAACACTATCTAATGCCTCATCACCCCAAAAAGAAACCCTATACTCATTAGTAGTCATTTCCCTCTTCCCTTTGCCCCTGGCAATCACTAGTTTACTTTCTGCCTTTAATGGATTTCCCTATTCTGCACATTTGATATGAACAGAATCATATAATATGTGGCCTTTGGGACTGACTTCACTTGTTTTGAAGGTTGATCCATGTTATAGCATGAATTAGTATTCCACTGGATGAAGACAACACATTTTGGCCATCCATTCATCAGTCATTGACTGTCTGGGAGTTTCTACTTTGAGGCTGTTATGAATAATGCTATGAACATTGGAGAATACGTTTTTTGTGGAAATATATTTTTAATTATCTTCAGTATATATCTAGGAGTGGAAATGCTGGGTCCTATGGTGATTCTATATTTAACCTTTTGAGGAACTGCCAAACTATTTTCAAAGTAGTCAGCTGCATAGTTTTGTTCTTTTCACCAAGGCACAACTTTTAGTTTTCTTTATATCTTACTTTAATGTTACCATTATTTTCTTGTGTTTAAATTTGAAGTTGCCTCCAAATCTCCAAGAGATGAGCTGGCATATAAATACATAAATAAATACATAAACATGATGCAGAAATTTTCTAGCATGCCTTATTTGTATTGCACCATGAGAAGGAAGAACTGTGGGGACCCAGGGAAGAGTAAGAACTCACTCCTGTCTAGTCACAAGAAGCTCACTGCCTGGTTGTGGAGAGGCAGCCAACATAGTTGTCACTGTGGACATGGGGACATGGGTCATGGGAGTAGGGCACATATCATTGCTGGGTATACACAAAGATAGGAAAGGTTACTTTTGACTAGAGTGATCGGTGCAGAGAGCGGGGAAGCCTGAGCAGGAGGACATCTATTAAGTCCTGAGCATTTTTTGGGAAGCAGAGGGGTTCTGCTGTCTTTCACTGGGCCCTTTTGGATCAAAGGCATTGTGCTTTCCATCATTCCCTTGAATGTAGCACATTTCAACTGCTTGACCAGGATAAGAATAACTATTGCTGAACACCTGCCACATGCCAGATACCCTTCTAGTCACTTTACATATGTGATCTCAGCCTTCATAGTAATATTCCAGGAAGGAGATATTATTATTATCACAGTCACTCTAGCTGCAAGTTAGCACCAAGGAACCCAGGCTCTCCTCGTGCCAGGTGGAGGACACTCCTAGCCCAGGGTTCTTGGGTCTCACCTCATATCCTGGCAGCTGCACTACAGTCTCATTTCTTGAGCTGGGGTCTGCTGAGGGCCTCTGTTGGTCATTTATGAAGGTTCATGTCCTGCCTCTGTGTGAAATGGGCCCAGCGGTTCCAGAGGCAGGTACTGCTCTACTTGGAAGGGAGCCTGGCCCTCTCTGAGTCACACCCTCTTGGAGAGAATGCTCAGATTCAGGTGGGTGTGACAGATCGTAGGCAATACTCCTAGGGCTATCCTGGCCCTCATCCTAGTTAGGTATGTCCCTTTGACTTAGATGTCAAAATTTCACTCCCAGAAGACACTCAGAGGCCCAGCCAGACCAAGACGAACCAGGCTTTGCACTAGAAGCAAAGCAGGCAGAGGAGGCCGATGGAGCAGAGGAGGCCAGGACAGGGATCCCCAGTCAGCACAGCAGGAGTCACTACTGTCATCTGTCTCACTGCCACATGGAAAGCTCGTGACATCTGCAGGCCATAAAAGATCTGCATAATCAGGCTCCTTTCCCAGCCTTCCTCAGAGGGGCTGGCTGGCCTCCAGCGACAAGCCCAGGAAGGGAAAATGCAAATCCACTTCTGAAAGAGGGATAAGGAGTGCAGATCACCTGAGTTCAAAAGTTCAAGACCAGCCTGGCCAACATGGCAAAACCCAGTCTCTACTAAAAATATAAAATTAGCCAGGCGTGGTGGCTAGTGCCTATAGTCCCAGCTACTTGGGAGGCTGAGGCAGAAAAATCACTTGAACCCAGGAGGCAGAGGTTGCAGTGAACTGAGATTACACCACTGCATTCCGGCCTGGGTGACAGAGTGCAACTGTCTCAAAAAAAAAAAAAAAAAAAAAAAAAGAAAAGAAAAAGAAAGAAAAAAGAAAACTGAAAAAACTGAAAGCAAGATATGGCCTTACCCACCTCCCCTCATGTCTCTACTGGAATCTCAGTTGAAGAACTACTTTATAGGGCCAAGGCTTGCCTCCAGTAATTTTTTTCTTGGAAGGTAGACCAGTATCCATAGAACAAATAAGGCTTAAATCCTGGTGCACCACCTGTTACATGCATGAATTTAGGCAACTGGCTTTAACTCTGAAGTCTCAGTTAATTATGCATAAAACAGGAGGAATATTAGGGTTTTTTTATTTTTTTGGTTTTGGGACAGAGTTTTGCTCTCGTTGCCCAGGCCGGAGTGAAATGGTGTGACCTCAGCTCACTGCAGCCTCTACCTCCTGGGTTCAAATGCTTCTCCTGTCTCAGCCTCCCGAGTAACTGGGATTATGGTCTTGTGCCACCACGCTTGGCTAATTTTTTGTATTTTTAGTAGAGATAGGGTTTCATCATATTGGTCAGGCTGGTCTCAAACTCCTGACCTCAGGTGATCCTCCTGGCTCAGCCTCCCAAAGTGCTGGGATTACAGGTGTGAGCCACCATGCCCAGCCTGGAATATTAGTTTTATATAACTGGTATGAAAGAGCAAAGAGATAATACATGTAAACACTTAGCCTGGAACCTGTCTCAAAGTACTTACACACACACACACACACACACACACACACATACACAAAAGCTATCTGTGAAGATGGTGAACCTGTTTAAGGAAGGGTGACTGCCCAAAAGTCAGAGAGCAGAAAGTAGGGCTAAAAAGGAATTATTTCAATTTGTACCATCCATGCTGTCCACAGGAAGGCAAAGAGACAGACCTACAAAGCTCTGTCCCCAGCATGCACTCTGCAAAGTTATATAACTCTGTTCTGGTCTGAGTCCCACGTTTAGAGAGGGAGATTATCCAGGAGCCCAGTGGTATTACTTCTGTTTTCTTAACAAGGTCACAACGGTAAGAGAAAGCTTCCCTGCCCTCACAATTCTACAAAATTCTCACTTGATCCTATGCACTTTTTTTCCAAAATCACACCCTCTGCTGCTTCACTTCTGAATCTCTGCTTAGGAATAAAACACCCTCTATTTATTTCCACATCACAATCATAGCCAAAGGGTTTAGAAACCAGTGCATAGCAGGAAGGTCACTAATGAGGTGAGAAAAGACCTGAAAATCACACTCATGATCCTCAAAGAAGTCGGGCCCTATGTTTGGAAATGTGTTTCTAGGCTGAGCAATGCTCTGGGTGATTAGGGCAACTGTCTGCAACATGGTATGCAGAAGGCACAAAGTACTGGCTGTTTCTGTCAGTCTGGCTTTTTTAAATGGCCTCTTGAGAGGGACCCATTGAGGCAGATCTCTCAGTTATGAACAGTGAGAGAGAATAAGTGGGGTGGGATGGACACAGGTAGGTGGTAAAATGAGAAACCAGTCAAAGTAGTAATTTTGCTGCTTCTCTGGAATTAGCCCTTAATCCTTTAGCCTGTGCCCAGAGCATATAAACATGATTGAGAAAATCTCTCTTGAAAGCCAATCACGAATGACCTTTGAATTATCTGTTTTGTATCTTCTGAGCCACTTCTTCTCTGTAGTGTGGGCAGATTCCCAACAAAAGGCAGAGTCGTTGCCATTGGTCAAATATCCACCCCAAGGGTAGAGAACCAAGGGTAGACTCTCTGGAAAGTGGCTGGAGCTCCATGACAAGAGAAGGAGCTTTGTTCTGGGACTCCCCAGTCTCCAAGGGACAGGCAATGATTCTGGAAGGCCAAGTAATCCACTGTGGTACTGAGGAGAGCAGAGGCCAAAAGTCATCTGCATGTCCTTTCCCAAAAAGCAGTGCCCACACCGAGCAGTCATGGGCCTTTGTGCTGTTCTGGGAAAACTCTGTGGAGTTCACTGGGTGTGTGGCCAGGTCTGGGGCTGCCGCCTGCAGGGGCAGCAGAACAGCTCCTGCTTTTCTTTCCTTGGTCCAAATGGACTGTGTCTGCCTGGGCTGATCTCTGGGTACAGCATGGCTGCAGGGAATTCAGTCCTGGGTGCTGAAGGCCTGCTCTGTGCACCTCCAGATCCAGCTCACTCCAACCGATTTCTCAGGGCCCAGGCATGGGTAAGTGTGTCCTGAGGTCTTAGAAACAGTGAAGTCTCCACCGCATCCTGATGGGCCAGTGTCCGTTTATTTACAGTTCAGAACTGTGGGAAAGGCTACACGCACCGTGACCCCACAGAGCCCTTCAGAAGAGCCACTGCTTGTCTCCTGAAACGCTCTCTCTGCTTCTCATGTTGGGGCTTATTTTGGAAATGTGGCATTCTCAGAAGGGATTAGCTCTTGGAGCTGGCATGATATTTCTATGACATAGAATGGCCTTAAAAAAAAAATTGGCTGGGCGTGGTGGCTCATGGCTGTAATCCCAGCACTTTGGGAGGCCGAGCCAGGTGGATCACTTGAGGTCAGGAGTTCAAGACCAGCCTGGCCAACATGGCAAAACCCTGTCTCTACAAAAAATACAAAAATTAGCCAGGCATGGTGGTACATGCCTGTAGTCCTAGCTACTCAGAAGCCTGAGGTGGGAAGGTCACTTGAACCCAGGAGGCAGAGGTTGCAGTGAGCTGAGATCTTGCCACTGCACTCCAGCCTGGGCAACAGAGGGAGACTTCATCTCAAAAAAATAAATAAAAATAAATAAATAAATAAATAAATAAATTTATGGCTTCTTTAAAATCTCGTGGAAATTCAACTTCTATAAGTTGCCAAGTCTCGGATCACTTCCCACCTTTATCCACCCTGACCATGCCTGCTCTGGGCTATGAGGCAAATGCCTTTTCCCTTTTCTAAGTGATGATAATTTGAACTCTACCTGCCACATAATGATATAAAAAACAAATATTAAAATGAGTTAAAATGCTAATACTCCTCCCTTGTTTTGAACAGGAACAGAAATTCTTGGCAAGTCAGTTCGTATTATATTCTCTACGTTAGGAGTATGCACATTTTTTGCAGTTGGCTATATGCTGCTGCCACTGTTTGCTTACCTCATCAGAGACTGGCGGATGCTGCTGCTGGCGCTGACGGTGCCGGGAGTGCTGTGTGTCCCGCTGTGGTGGTGAGTGTGACTCGTCCCCAGACAGGCCCTCTGCTGTGGGTCAGCACACCTGGAACACACCTGGAGCCTGGTGCTGACCTAGCCTGGGCTCACATGACCTCCATGGAACTCATGGAGGCCAGCTTCCAAGCTGGGAGAGTTTTCGTCTCATTGTGGGTGGGCCTGTGTGCTGCAGTTTGAGTCTCCATTTTCCTGCAAAGCACTGTTCTTGGGATTCCGGTCTCTTCCTTGACTCCAGCCACTCTTGTCTGTTGTTACTTGTCATTTGTGAAGTTGGTGGTGTTGGGTTTTGTTGTTTTTAACTCTGTCCCCTCCCCTGCTCTTTTGTCACTTTTCTCTCTCTAGAAGTATCTCTCTCTATTCAACTAATGTAATTCTTCAAGCTTCCCTATCATATAATGATTAGCATCTATGATAGGGAAGCCTATTTATTAGCCCTTATGATAGTATGCCTATTCATTTGCTACGTCTTAAACAGTGAGAAAATTACTTTTATTTAATAAATTGTTAGAGAAATGTTCTCTCCCGCCACAACCTCTCAACTCAGTTTCAACACAACAGTTATAGGAATAACAAAGTTCGAAGATTCTGGCCTCAGTCTTACCCAATATGACTATCTGGGAGATTTCAGGTGAAAGAACAGATTAAAAATAATGGAATAAGGTATCAGATATACTCTTTTTTAGGGGATTTCCCATTTCTTTGCTTTTTTTCATATTTAAGCAAGAGGAGAGGGGATTTCTTCCATTTGTGGGTCTGGTTAGGTCTCTCTCTCATTTTCTCTCTCTCTCTCTCTCTCTCTTTCTCTCTCTCTCTCTCTCGTTAATTCTTCTTGGTTTGATTTCATTATATCAAAGTCAAATCTTCCAGCACTGACTAGTTTTACCAAACTGCATGATTTCTGCCTGCTTATACATAACACAAGGTTCTTTGATCATTTTTTGGAACTCACAATTTAGCCTAGACTTCATGGTTGCCCTGTCCTTTGGATACCTCCTGACTGGGAAGCTGTCTAGGCCTTTATCTTACTGCAGCTGTTAGGCAGTCATAGAGGTTGACAGGCAGGCCACCTTAGCCCTGTCTGACCAGACACCGCAAGTCAGGTGGGCTCACTCTAAGCCCCTGTATTCTCATGACCTCTCAGAGTGCAACGATTTACCAGTGCAAATTCTTAGCATGCAGGGGGAGTTGAGAGATAGTTTGTTAAATGCTAGGTATTATTCTGATTTGCAACATTCCTCTGGAACCCCGTCTGAGGACCAGAAAACCCAGTCTGAGGAGCAATAAATAAGGGCTGGCCATTACCTACACAGCTGCACCTCCAAGGAAAGCATCCCAGATTTACAAGAGCAGAGCGATGTTCTGAATGAGAGTAATTATCATCCTCGTCATCTATCCTTCTCTCCACAACTCCCTTGCTAACTGAATTTTTTGGAAAAGATGTTGGTGACCAGAAGTTCTCTCAAGATACAGGACAAGATTATTCAAAGGTTCTTTTCTGCCTCTTCAGTTGAATGATTTTAATAAACTATTTTTTCTGGCTCTAGTTGTCATTTTGACCTAAGAGACCAGTACTTTCAAAATGCTATAATTAGCCAGGCATGGTTGTTCACACCTGTAATCCCAGTACTTTGGGAGGCCAAAGTGGGAGGATCACTTTATCCCTAGAGTTCAAAACCAGCCTGGGCAACATGGCAAAACCCTGTGTATACTAAAAATAAAAAATTATCTGGGTGCAATGGTGAGTGCCTGTAGTCCCAGCTACTTAGGAGGCAGAGGTGGGCTGATCTCTTGAGCCTGGGAGTTCGAGATTACAGTGAGCTATATGATCATGCCATTGAACTCCAGCCTGGATAGAATAAGATGCTATCTCAAAAAAAAAAAAAGTTATAATCAATCTTATTAGTATATGATTTTATCAGAGAGAAAAAGAGAGAGAGAGAGAGAGAATAACAATATAAGGCCCTTGATGGGCTGAACAGAGGTTAGTAGGGATGGGATCTTTCCCTTGGGACCAAATGTCACAGTGAGGAATGAACAGCTCTGATCCGTTAACCCTCCAGAGTCAGCCTCCAGAATTTCCAGCAGAGAAGGTTCATCCCAGAGAGAGCCGGCTCACTCTGCCCTAAGGAGAACTGTTTTTTCTGTTCCCCAGGGGCTGGTCCATGAGTGCCCCTGGCTGTGGGCACACTATACCAGGGACAGGACTTGCCCCAGACAGAGGCCAGCCCAGGACCAGCACTGACAAACTGAGTGCTCCCCCTGAGCATTTAACAGTGGTCTTATTATTTTTCTATAAAAGAAAATAGCTTTCTTCTGAACATCTCGTCCTTGCTGGTGGGGCTTCCCAAAGCGATGCTCCTCAGTCTAGTGGTTGGGGTATGGCAGATGCTTAGAGCTGACATGGACCCTTGCTGCCTGCTCAATATGAGGCAAGCTCTCCAGCAGCACCTCATTCCTGTTTAGTCTGAATTAAATCTAGACATCATAGTGTGCAACCACATTTGGCACTCCATTGACTTTTGAAATGATCAGCTAGATTTGAGATTTTGTGCACCATAAAAAATCAAAGCGATTCAAAAGTAGAGATACCAGTGGCCCTCAGTTCAGTGGGCTAGAAATGGGAAGGAAATCTATATAGACCTACTGCTCATGGTTTGGGGGACTTTTTACATCCCAAGTTTCCTTTAAAAGGATTGGCAGTAAGTGGCCACAGGTGTGAATGGAGTATGTGTATAGGGGTTGGGGTTGGGGTTGGGGTAGGGAAGCAGGCCATAGATGCAAGGTGAGGAAATCTATGCAATTTCTAGCTGATTAAACATTAAGAATCTGAGGCCAATGCTCTATAGGAAAAAAGGTAGGATATTTCTAAGCATTATCTGGTTGGAAAAAGATACTGGCCCAAAGTAGAAGCATCCATGAGGTGTACTGTGGCTGTGCAGTAAGATCTCTAATTCTGTACTAATACAGTAGCCGCCAGCCACATGCAGCTATTTAAATTAAAATGAATTAAAAGTAAATAAAATTAAAGTTTCATTTCTTCAATCACATTAGCTCAGTAGCTACATGTGGTTAGTGGCTGCTGTCTTAGCACAGATATAGAACATTTCAGAAGTTTCTATTGGACAGCATAGATCTAATTACTGAAAGTCAGTGACCTAACATCATTGTAGTTCCTCTAAGGACCAACTAAAGGCATATTCTGAAAAATGCAAACTAGGCTCATTTTTCAACTCATGTACTAGTAAGCTGGAGAGGGGAACTGCTAGTTGGTCATTTGTTTTGCTCTGAGCTAGTTCCCAGTGTGGCTTTGGGGCCAATTAATTATAGGAGGGTTCTGTGTCTGCTACGTATAATTTGTTTTCTAGGCTAGGTAAGTACAGATGCTCTCCAACTTATGATGGAGTTACATCCCAATAAGCTCACTGTAAATTGAGACTATTCTAGGTCAATACTCCCAACCTACTGAGGTAGGAGGCCAGATATGACTCCAGAAGCAGAGCTTGGACACCAGACACCACCACCTAAAATAGAGCTGGGGTGGAAGCTGCTTTCCATAAGACACACTTATCAGTGTGCCCTGTCAGTTTACCATTGCCATGACAACACTCAGGCATTATTGCCCCTTTCCATGGCAATGACCCAATGAGCCAAAAGTTGCTACTCTTTCCCTAGAAATTTCTGCATAAACTGCCCTTTCATCTACATGTAATTAAAAGTAGTTATAAATATGAGTGTGAAACTGTCCTGAACTGCTACTCTCTGCCTGTGGGGTAGCCCTGCTCTGTAGGAGCAGTCACAGAGCTGTAACACTGCCTCTCCACTAAAGCTGTTTTCTTCTACATCCAGTTTGCCCTTGAATCCTTTCCTGGGCAAAGCCAAGAACCCTCATGGACCAAACCCCACAATGGGGCTTGCCTGCCTTGCATCCCTACCAAATATCATAGCTCAGCCTGGCCTACCTTAAACATGCTGAGAACACTTAAATTAGCCTACAGTTGGGCAAAATCTTCTAACACAAAACCTATTTTATAATTAATTATTGAATATTTCCTTTAATTTATTAAATACTGTACTGAAAGTAAAAAACAAAACTTTGAGTACCTATACATGCAAGTATAAGTACTCAAAGTCAGGTTTCTACTAAATGCTTATCACTTTTCTCCTATAATAGAAAAATCTAAGTCGGATCATCCTAAGTTAGGGACCATCTGTACTGACAACAGGTAAGGAAAATGATAGCCGACAGGAAAATGGCTAAAATATTTTGAGAAATAAAAATTAGGAAAGAATAGAAGTCCTATTTTTTGCAACTGTGTTCGAGCATCAGTTATAAATGGGAACAGACTATGTAATTTAAAATAATAAGCTTTTAGACATTTTTTTAAAAAGACAACATTGGGACTCATCTCCCAAAAACTTCTTTGGGCACTTGCTGATCTGGGAATCTGCTGAAAGCTATGGGACCTTCCACAGGCGGTTATCAGTGCCCTCACTTTCTCTCTTGACTAAAGGAAAAGATCAAGAATACAGGTGCCCTGGCCGTCCTTTTCCCAATAAACTGTGAACATCACCAGCTGGGACACCAGCAATTCTCCTTAGGATGGACCCACTGCAAAGACAGTCTCTTCTCGAGGGGACATAGAGTCTAGTAGCTATGTTTCTTTTATGAGCCACACTGGCTATAAGTTTTCGATGAACTTCTCCAGATGCCCTGGCTCAGACATGCCCATAGTTAATGTTACCACTTATAGTCTGGTCCTGGTCTCAAGCACAACTGATGATCAGTCTTATAATTTGATTGGAAGTTTGAAACTTGAAGGTGCTTTTATCTATATTTCTATGCTCCAACAGAAATCTTATGTGGACTCCTTTTAAAAAGACAAACTAGAATTTTATAAAATTTAAACTATCTGGGGAAAACTCAGATTTAATAGTATTCAACTCTGCTGTTGTGAAAAATTATTAAATATTAAAAATAAATTATAGGTTCATTCCTGAATCCCCCCGGTGGCTGATATCCCAGAGAAGATTTAGAGAGGCTGAAGATATCATCCAAAAAGCTGCAAAAATGAACAACATAGCAGTACCAGCAGTGATATTTGATTCTGTGGAGGTAAGCATTTGCTGATGTTTACTCTTAGATCAGCTATGCATTCTTGATTTTATGAAATTTAACTTAATTCAGTATTTGTTAAGTGCTTACTATGTACCAGGCCTTGCACTAGGCCTTAGGAACACAATCATGATTAAATTCTAAGATAAAATCCACCTTAAAGGGCTGTTTATAAGAATTAAATGCAATAATGTATATAAACTGTTTAGCAAATAGCAAGCGTTCATTAAATATTAGTTCCCTTTATTTTGCAAGTTTATCATCGACATTCTATTGGCATTGCTCCAATCCACTGACACAGCTATGTACTGATGATTTTTAAATGCCAAGATTAAGTAGAAAAATATGTTTCAGAGTTAGTCCACCCTGGGTTCTCCACTGTACCCTCAATCTTACAACAGACTGCTGAAGAAGCTATGCATGTCTTTAGTCTTGCTCTGTGTCATGTCTAGAACCTTAAGGCCTGAAGGCATAGGCTTGAGGATTCACCCTTGAAAGCTGGTGGCCACAAGGAAAAGCTAATATTCTATGGAAGCAGCCACACCTCCTGACAGTTCGTGAGGACATGCAGTGTGCCATGCCCTGTGCTGGCTCCTAGAGGAAATAAGAAAAATAAGACACAGCCTCAATTCTAAAAGAACAGAGAATGTAACTAAGATGGGCAAGAGGATTAGATGAAAACATAAAGAATGGCATAGGGAGGAAATGATAAGTATCCAAGTAGAGACGCTATGTGCCAGCAATTCAGAGAAAGAGATCAGGGTAGCCCACAGGCAGGTCCCACAGGCAGGTCCAAGCCAGAGAGGACAGCAGGACACTTAAGTGAGTGGAGAGTATGGGGCAGGGCATTCCTGGCTAGGAGATGGGTAGGGGACTGCTCAGGATACCTAAAGAAGACTATGGTGGCTTCAGTGGCATTATACATGCCCCACACCAAAGCAGGTATTGCGGAAAGTAGAACTCTATGGAGGATGGTGGGCATGCCACTGCTCACCTTGAGGGCTTCACCAATCCCTGGCCTTCAGGACTTTTTCCAGAAGCAGATACTCTGGCTATGGCTAGAGGCTTTGAGTGGCCCTGAACTCAAGCTCTCAGAGGGCTGCCAGGACAAAACATCCCTTAGTTCTTTGCCCTTCAAATCAAGAGGTTAATTTCAAGTCTTAGTCAATTTAAATGGATAAAACAACAACACTGGGAGTGTCTAACACTTCTACCCTTCAGGGCTGTGCTGGGTGTTTATTGGTATTTATCAGCTACGTGTCCTGATTCCTGTCTGTGAATCTAACAGTCTAGTTGTAGGGATCCACCTATATGGATGAAAGCAATCATAAAATAGATTAGAGATATACAGTTATGGACAAATAAGAATATAGTCCAATGTTGAAACACATAGTTCTGACAGTGCCTTAATATATCTTTATATATATATATATATATATATACACACACACACACACACACACACACACACAAACACACACACATATATACACATGCATATATATGTGTGTATATATGTATATGTGTGTATATACATATATATTAATAGATATACATATGTATACACAGACATACATATATACATACATACATATATATGTGTGTATACATATGTATATCTATTCATATATATACATATATACATATATATGAGAATATATGTATAGGTATGAATAGATATACATATGTATATACACACATACACATATATACATACATACGTATGTATATATACATGATAAATAGCATGTATGTGTGTATATATGTATATATATGATCTGTGATAAATACCATGTATGTACGTATATATATATGTATATATGTGTGTGGCTGATCTCAGTGAGCTGAGATTGTGCCACTGCACTCCAGCCTGGGTGACAGAGCAAGCCTCCATTTCAAAAAACAAACAAACAAAAAACATGTATGTATGTATGAATATATGTATGTGTGTATATACAGCTGTATACATATTCATATACATGTGTATATGTAGGTATGTATGTATATATATATATACACATATTTTTTTTTGAGTCTTGCTCTGTTGCCCAGGTTGAAGTGCAGTCACGTGATTACAGCTCACTATAGCCTCAACCTTCCAGGCTCAAGCAGTCCTCCCACCTCAACCTCCCAAGCTAGGACTACAGGCACATGCCACCACACCCAGCTAACTTTATGTATTTTTTTTGGAGACACAGGACTTCACTATGTTGCCCAGGCTGGTCTCAAACTCCTAAGCGCAAGCAATTCTCCCACCTTAGCCTCCCAAAGTGCTAGGATTACAGGTGTGAGCCACCAGTCTCAGCCTGACAGCACCTTCTTTCTTCCTACTATGATGCACATCTAGCCTCAATTGAACAAACCCATTGAGAGAAAAAAAAGGCTTGCGCTTTCCTGAGGCCCGGTCATCTCCCCTGCTCACCTCCCGTAGGATCCTGTCTTTAGGAGGATCTGTAGAGTCCTGTGCCAGCAAATGCAGCCTATTTAGAATGATATTGATGAGCTTACCAAATGCTAAGCACTGTGTTCTGCTCATTTAATGCTCATGCATTTTCTTCAAAAGAAAAAACTAACGCACAACAAAGTTAGGTAACTTGCCCAGGATCACACAGATGTTAAACTGAGATTTGGAACCTAGTTCTCCCAGGTACCAAAGTACATTCTCTTAACAACTGTGATTTTTCACTTCATGTGAGAGGCAGTGGCATTAACTTGGACAGGAAAAGATACAGAGTATTGTCTTAGAAAGCAGTCTTGAGCACCCTGGCTTCAGAAGAGGTACCTTCAACCTGCTCCTGGTACCTGATCCAAAGACATTTTGGTGGCTCGACTGATGCCAGGGACAACCACTGGAGAGAAGGATATTCTTGTTCTGAGGTTTCCAATCCTGGTTGCTCATCGCAATCACCCAAGTGCTTTAAGAATACAGATTCTCAGGCCTCTGTATAAAAGAGTTGAAGTAGGCAAGCCCAGGGAGGGACCTGGCAATCTGCATTTGAGAAGGGCCCCATGGAACCACCAAGTGTTAGCACAGGCCTGGTCCACAGGTCCTGTCTGTGTGTACCACCCCAGAACCCTCCAAGACGATGTCTTTCCCACTAGTTTATGCAGTGGCTTTGCTTTGTTGTAATACCAGGGTTATTCTGCTGAGGGCATGTTCTGGGGCTCTGCAATCCAAATAGCGCAGGAGAGAAAAGGCAATGTGGCTGTGAGCTGTGTAAGTGTCTGATTATTCCTAGAAAGGAGAGCACCTGCTGTCAAGGCAGGCCTGGCACTCTCACTTCTTCATAGCAGAAACTCCTCCATCAGTCTCTTACTGCGCATGCACCGTAGGGCCACAGTCACCAAGTCCTGGTACTTCATCCCCTAGAGATTCCCCACCTCTAAGGGGAAGTTAGAGCCTAACAACTTTTTTGTTAGTTTCAATTCTACTCAGCTTGGTTACCTTGATTCATAACTCATGTCAAGTTACTATCAGCAAATTAAAAGTGAAAGAATAGGCCGGGTCTGGTGGCTCACGCCTGTAATCCCAGCACTTTGGGAGGCTGAGGTGGGTGGATCACCTGAGGTCAGGAGTTTGAGACAAGCCTGGCCAACATGGTGAAACCCCATCTCTACTAAAAATACAAAAAATTCGCCAGATGTGGTGGTGCCTGCCTGTAATCCCAGCTACTCAGGAAGCTGAGGCAGGAGAATCACTTGAACCTGGGAGGTAGAGGTTGCAGTGAGTTGAGATTGTGTCACTGCACTCCAGCCTGGGTGACAGAGCAAGACTCCATCTCAAAAAACAAACAAACAAAAAACAGAGAAGTGTAAAAAGCAGAGGTAGCCTCAAGGAAGGGACTACATGGCCCTACCCTTCAATAGACATTTCTGAGGATCACAGATCAGTGTGGTAAAGGTCATTCATAGTGATGACTGTCAATCACAAAAAGGCTGTGTTAGCCAACAGTCTTTGTGTAATGAGACAGGGGAAGAGGTATCATATATTTAAAAGGCTTCTGTTTAAAATGGGCTACAAACATTTTAAAGTGTCAGAATAAGCGTCATATATGTAGATGCCCTATTGCCTCCAATTCCCACACTTCTAAGCATAGTCAGGGTGAAGTGAGAGTTGCATGCATATGTTTTCCCCATGCATCATAGCCAAAGATACTTTCTTACTACTTCTTAATCTCATGGTTATTTGCATTATTTTAGTTACAGGAGCTAAATACCCTGAAGCAGCAAAAAGCTTTCATTATGGACCTGTTCAGAACTCAGAATATTGCCATAATGACCATTATGTCTTTGCTGCTATGGTAAGTAGTAAGTGACCTGGAAATGCAGACATCCAGCATGTAAGTATGCAACTGATTTTCTTTGACTCAGAGGAACATTATGGCAACATCTGGGTTTTCCTGAGGAAAAATTAAGATTATAAAGTTCTAAATTATTTTGAAATGCCTCGATTCAGTTCATGGGACTGGATGCTGAAAAAATGTCACTGGGTGCAGTGGCTCACACCTGTAATCCCAGCCCTTTGAGAGGCTGAGGTGGGCAGGAGTTTGAGATCAGTCTGGCCAACATGGTGAAACCCCGTCTCTACTAAAAATACAAAAAATAGCCTGGCAATGGTGGCGCATATCTGTAATCCCAGCTACTCGGGAGGCTGAGGCAGGATAATCACTTGAATCCAGGAGGCAGAGGTTGCAGTGAGCCTAGATTGTGCTACTGCACTCCAGCCTTGGCAGCAGGGCAACATTCTATTTAAAAAAAAAAGAAAAAAAAAAGAAAGGCACATGGAACAGTATTTAAGTCTGCAGTACTGGGGCCCAAAGTTAAAGATCCCCTCTCCTAAAGTTATGGGATTGAGATATCATTGATGTCCCTGGGTAAGGGTTCCCTCCCCACCAAAAATTATGAGATTAAGACTACTGATATCCCTGGTGCCTGAGGCAGAGATGCTAATTCAGCTCCTGCTCCTAAAACTGACCTGGCAATTGAACAGTGAGGCTACAATAACCTAAATCCCCATTAAGTGGATTGGAGCCTTGATAAGCTTTTTACACTTGCCAATAGCAAACTAACAAGTGGCTTTAAGGCACAGAAATAATGAATTGGCTTTATACATTAGATTTAATAATTTATCTGCCAAGAAAAAAAGAGAAAGGAAAAAAGAAAATTCCTACTCTATGATGGCAGTGCACACACGCGCGCGCACACACACACACACACACACACACACACACACACACACTCCATCTCTGGATGCTCATAATTTACATGGAGATGCCTACCTGAACTCTTTCTTCTCTGCCTTGATTGAAGTTCCAGTTTATACACACACATACACAAAAGATCATCAGAACTGGTAGATTGAAGCTGCAGCTAGTCCAAGTTTATTATTATTATTATTTTTTAAAGATGGTGTTTCACCATGATGGCCAGGCTGGTCTTGAACTCCTGACCTCAGGTGATCCACCCACCTTGGCCTCCCAAAATGCTAGGATTACAGGCGTGAGCCACCGCAACTGGCCAGTCTAAGCTTATTTTTAAGGGCCATCCTACTTGGTAATTAAAAGAGATCGGTGACAGAACTTATGCCTCTGAATTAAGCAAGTGTGTCCCAGGTACATGACCTTCTTAGTTCTTACATTTCAGCATATATCTCTGATGCAAATGTTCTTAGGTAATAGTGTTATTAAGCTAATAAAAAATTAGTCGCTAGCTCTATCTAAGCTGCTCCTATTACTTGCTAAATGGGAAAATCACTAAGATCCCTTGAGTAGTAAAGTTTAATTATTTCTTTTGTTTATGAATTGGTCCTTATGGTTATCTGATTTGGGTCTAGTATGTATAAAAAGACCCATCAGTGTTCCTGAAAGCATTTTTCAAATATCCTCTGCTTCTCGGTCATGTTAATAATAAGCAAATTTCTATACAGGAGCGTCTGCATAGTGCAGTTGTAACAGAAACGCAGATTCAGTCACTCACAGCTTGCAGCGTCCAATTAACAAGAGCAAGGTCTGATGTAAGGAAAGTGACTTTTTATTCCAAAGCTAGCTTAGGGGGAAGGGTATCGGCTTCCTGCCTGAAGGGTACTGCTTCTCTTTTTGGACGAGAAAACAGGCACTTTAAAAAGGCAGGAGAGGACGTGAGCAGGTGAGGGTCCCAGTGCTAGCTTGCTACCTTATCTACTGGGCAGTTGAGTTGGTGCCTCAATGGGCAGAAATAGGCTGTACATATGGCCAAAAACTCTAGCAGGCACACTTTGGGTTGGAAATTGACTGTTATATCTTGAGGAAATCTTCTAGGGGGTGAGAGTCCCACTCTGGAGCTTCTAAGCACATAGATAAACTTGCCCTGCAGGGAGTGTCCAGTGAAGAGGAAGTTAAAAGGCACTTCGAGGGCCGGGCACAGTGGCTCACGCCTGTAATCACAGCACTTTGGGAGGCCAAGGCGGGTGGATCATAAGGTCAGAAGATCGAGACCATCCTGGCCAACATGGTGAAACCCCGTCTCTACTAAAAATACAAAAATTTAGCTGGGCGTGGTGGCGCACGTCTGTAGTCCCAGCTACTTGGGAGGCTGAGGCAGGAGAATTGCTCGAACCCAGGAGGTGGAGATTGCAGTGGGCTGAGATTGTGACACTCCGCTACAGCCTGGGGAACAGTGCAAGACTCTTCATCTCAAAAACAAAACAAAACAAAACAAAACAAAACAAAACAAAACAAAACAAAACAAAACAAAACAAAGGCACTTCTAAAGAGCAAGTAGAAAGTAGGGAAAAGGAGGGATGAGAAAAGAGAGAGAGAATAAACTATCTCTTAGAAAAAATGAGGGTACTCAGTTACATAGTAATTTTTTCCACAGGGAAACCTTTTTTTTTTTTTTTTTTTTTGAGATGGGGTCTGGGGTCTTGCTTTGTCACTCAGGCTGGAGTACAATGGTGTGATCTTGGCTCACTGCAACCTCTGCTTCCTGAATTCAAGCAATTCTGTCTCAGCCTCCCAAGTAGCTGGGATTACAGGTGTATACCACCATGTCCAGCTAATTTTTGTATTTTTTAGTAGAGACAAGGTTTCACCATGTTGGCCAGGCTGGTCTCAAACTCCTGACCTCAGGTGATTTGTCTACCTCAGTCTCCCAAAGTGCTAGGATTTCAGGTGTGAGCCACCATGCCCAGCCCACGGAGAAGTTTCTACATGGAAGTTAGCTATAATGATAGGATATACAGGCTGCACTCTGATACTTGGAAGCATTAAGGGACATTCCTATTTGCCTGAAGAGAATTAGAATTTACTCTAAGTGGATCCCACAGTATGACCCTTGTATCTTCTTTTTTGTTAAAGAATGAAATCTGGATTTTATGTTCACTGATGTGACTAATAGTTTTTCTTCAAATAATAGCTCTAAGAGATTGAGGAGGTACAAACTATTCAGGAAATAGAAAAACTTGAAATCAACTAACTGAGAAAAGATATTGTTGAATTTGGTATATATCTAGACTAGCATTGTCCAATAAAACTTTCTGCAATGATGGAAATGTTTTATATCTATGTTGTTCAATGTGGCAACCACTAGCTACACGTGACTATTAAGAACTTGAAGTGTGGCTAGTGTAACTAAGGAAATGAATTTGTAATTTTATTTAATTTTACTTTATTTATTTATTTATTTTGAGACAGAGTTTCGCCCTTGTTACCCAGGCTGGAGTGCAATGGCGCGATCTCAGCTCACCGCAACCTCCGCCTCCTGGGTTCAGGCAATTCTCCTGCCTCAGCCTCCTGAGTAGCTGGGATTACAGGCACGCGCCACCATGCCCAGCTAATTTTTTGTATTTTTAGTAGAGACGGGGTTTCACCATGTTGACCAGGATGGTCTCGATCTCTTGACCTCGTGATCCACCCGCCTCGGCCTCCCAAAGTGCTGGGATTACAGGCGTGAGCCACCGCGCCCGGCCTAATTTTACTTTATTTAAATTTAAGTAGCCAATGAGGGTAGTGGCTACTTATAGGACAGCAAGATATAGACAATTTCTTGACCATCACAAAACCTTAGAGAGATTCACACCATCCCATTGTCATTTTTGCCTTTTTCTTTCAGGATGCTGACCTCAGTGGGTTACTTTGCTCTGTCTCTGGATGCTCCTAATTTACATGGAGATGCCTACCTGAACTGTTTCCTCTCTGCCTTGATTGAAGTTCCAGCTTACATTATAGCCTGGCTGCTACTGCGAACCCTGCCCAGGCGTTATATCATAGCTGCAGTACTGTTCTGGGGAGGAGGTGTGCTTCTCTTCATTCAACTGGTACCTGCAGGTAAGAAGTTAACCAAGATGAACAGCTTACCAGAAAAGACCCACATATTGACTAGGCTGCTTCTGACTCACTGCTCCCTGTTTATTCAGCCTTTACATCATAAGCTATTCATAAGTCAATAGGACAGGTGATTGCTCACTACGAATGTTGTTTCCTGTGTTCAACAAACAGAAGAGACAGCCTTGGAGACGCAGAAAGCACCAAAGAGGAAGAGTAACTCTCCCAGTCATCCCCTTCACTAAAGACTCACCTAAAATCTCCCTTTGAGTCACAGTCATGATTCCTAATTTTTGGCTACTGTCAAACCTTTTCCCTGGGTGTATATTTAAGTATTACAGTGAGTAGAACATGTTGGTTCCAGGATACATTCAGTGGTTTTCTGGTCTTAATCTTTAAGTAGTTAAATAGCGCACAAAAGGATATATGCTTCCCTATTTCCCTTGTGTCTGACGGTCTCATAATATTAAAATATCAATAAATTATTGATAGTAGGGCTGGGCGCGGTGGCTCACGCCTATAATCCCAGCACTTTGGGAGGCCGAGGCGGGTGGATCACGAGGTCAAGAGATCGAGACCATCCTGGTCAACATGGTGAAACCCCGTCTCTACTAAAAATACAAAAAATTAGCTGGGCATGGTGGCGCGTGCCTGTAATCCCAGCTACTCAGGAGGCTGAGGCAGGAGAATTGCCTGAACCCAGGAGACGGAGGTTGCGGTGAGCCGAGATCGCGCCATTGCACTCCAGCCTGGGTAACAAGAGCGAAACTCCTTCTCAAAAAAAAAAAAAAAAAAATTATTGATAGTAATAGAAATACACATTTCTTTATAATAAGATAGATAATAACAGGATAGAAAGGATTGGCCCTCCTCTTTGAAGATAAAACTTAACTATATTAACATGCTAATAGCTTACCATGAAATTTTGTTTGTTGTAACAAACAAAAGACAAGTGGACAAAGGTCACTGAATGCACTAATGACCTAGAATAACAGGAGAACAAAGTACAAAGCCACCCCTCACACTCCATCTTTGCCTGTGCCCAAGTATTAGGATATTTGAAGAGAAAAGGCTATTTGGGAATACATTTATGTTAATAAAAGCACTCCCACTGAAGCAAAAAGGATAATAAAAACAACTGAGATAAGAAAGTATCACTTCTAAAAGCACCCTTGTTTACACCAGGTCTCTTTTCCAGATTATTACTTCTTATCTATTGGTCTGGTCATGCTGGGAAAATTTGGGATCACCTCTGCTTTCTCCATGCTGTACGTCTTTACTGCGGAGCTCTACCCAACCCTGGTCAGGAACATGGCGGTGGGGGTCACATCCATGGCCTCCAGAGTGGGCAGCATCATTGCCCCCTACTTTGTTTACCTTGGTGAGCTGCATCTTGTCCATTTATCCTTCATTTAAATTAGCTTTCAATATAAAATATTTTCATTGTGAAAACTCCAAATAGCATAGAATGTTCTGGAAAAAAAGTACAAGTTCACCTCTCCTCTCCCAGGAGGAGCCCTAGAAAGCCAAAATGAACTGTTTGGTGAGTAGCCCTATAGACATTTTGTTTTGCACAACATCATGTACACATATTTTGCAATATCTATGAAATTTTTTAATGGCATGGACAAAGATGGAGCATGAGGGGTGGTGGCTATAAAATATTTTGAACACACAAGCAGGCCAGGCATGGCGGCTCACACCTGTAATCCCAGCACTTTGGCAGGCAGATCACCTGAGATCAGGAGTTGGAGACCAGCCTGGCCAACATGGTGAAACCCCTACTAAGAATACAAAAATTAGCTGGGCATGGTGGCGGGTACCTGTAATCCCAGCTACTCGGGAGTCTGAGGCAGGAGAATTGCTTGAACCCAGGAGGCGGAAGCTGCAGTGAGCCAAGATCATGCCATTGCACTTCAGTCTAGGTAACAAGAGCAAAACTCCATCTCAAATAAATAAATTAAATAATATAAAAATAATAAACACACAAATAACATTATATACATTGAAACTTTCAAAACTTAACATTGTATCAGAATATCCTTCCAAATGGTTACATATTGCTCCTTTATGTTCTTTTAAAAATAAGTACATAGTTCTTCCAATACTGTATCTGTATACACATAATTTATTTAACTGCGCTCCAACATGCAGGTCATTTCCAGGTTTTTGTTACTACAAAGAACATTACAACAAACATTCTCCTATGCTCCTACACCCTTTGTGAATTTACTTACGTATATTTGGATTCACAGATAGATTCATAAAAGTAAAATTCCTGGAGCAAAAGTGCCGTTAAAAAATTTCATAGAGCCGGGCGCGGTGGCTCAAGCCTGTAATCCCAGCACTTTGGGAGGCCGAGGC